AGAGAGAGAGAGAAAAGAGATATTGAGCACAGAGAAAGAAAAAATAATAGGCCTTTCCTTTCCTGGAGCTAAAAAGTGGATGGCTTCTTTTGTAGAGTTTCTTTCACTATTATTTTCCTTCATTCTTACTATAACCTCAGCAGCTTAAGAATTCATATATTTAGAGTTTGGAGAACTATAGGAAAAGGGAGTGGTTTCCTTTTCTGGCCTGCCTAAGGGCTGAAGCTCCAGATAACATCAAACATCTGTCCAACCCAGATCAATGATCAGATAGAGCTGAGGTTCCAGGTACAAGTTTAAAATAGAGATTTTCCTGTAAGGAACAGAAATAAGAAATGTAAATGAAACCATCGGGGAGAACTTGCCACATCAGGATGTGGTACTCAGTATCAGTGTTCCAAGTCTCATCATTCAGCAGAGAGGAGGAAAGGTAAACTGGCTAGTATTTGGAATGTCAGTCCATCTCAGCTTTGAGGAGGACACTCTCAGCTTTCTATTTTGGTTCAAAGCTGAAGATGACCCTGAACTTATAATCCTCCTACCTCCATCTCTTGAGTGCTGGGATTACAGGTGTAAATCAAACCCAGGGCCACATGCATGCTAGACAAACACTTTACTAACTGAGGTACATACCCAGCCCGTGGTTCACAGACTTAAATGGAGATTCCTTCGCCTTAGTGTGTCTTCCCTAGTGACCAAGCTTCAGGATAGCAAGTGAGCTAGAGTGAATTTTTGCCAGCACTAGTCTTAAGACATGCCAATAGGGAAATGTAAAAAGAAGAAGCTTTTTTAAAAATTAAAATTGCTTGCATGTATGTAAGTGCACCTGTGTCATGCAACGCCCAAGGAGGTCAGAAGAGGGCATCGGATCCCCTGGAACTGGAGTTAGGATGGTTGTTAGTTGCCATGTGGGTGCTGGGAATCAAACCCAGTCCTCTGCAAGAGCAGTCAGTGATCTTAACCACTGAGCCAACTCTTCAGCCCCGAAGATGAGGCTTTTTATTTGCAGGATGTTGGACAGAAATGAGGACATTGAAGGCAAGAGTCAAGCTTTCCCAAGGTTCTTTCTTAAAATACATTGTTTATCTTCAGGGCTTCTGACTCATCCCCATCCCAGGATCTTGAGGCCACTACATCCCAAGAGTACCTGGGGAAACCAGCTCATTCTTTACCTACAGCATCTATAGAAACATCTGCTCTAGCCCAGTAGAAAGTCAAAATGAACAGTTAACACATCATCCCTTCTGTTGAAGGACACATTCCTGTTGGCTGACACATACCTCTCCCTGAGGTTCACCATGGACTGCCTGTATGTCTGTGGAACTGTGAACTGATTTAGATGATGGTTTGAAGAGCCTCTTACATCCTAGTTTATTTAACCTTCTCACACACGTAGAGAGACTTCTCTTTGGGGAATCATAGAATGACTACTGACTCATGAGACAAGCTGTGAGCCCTGGAAACAGGAAGCAAAACAGAGACTCTCAAAGAAGCAAAACAAAGACTCAAAATTTCATTCCTTTCTCTCTAGTCACTCAGCAGTGTAGAAAACAGTCTGCACATGTCATTAGCAGACTGAGTTTACCTCACAGTGCTGCAAGGCACTTTGTGAGTTGAGGCAGGGCCTCAGCTTCCTCATCCACTAAAGTGAAAAACAAGACCCATCCTGCTGGCCACACAGGGTTCTTTTTTAAAAAATATATTTGATTACTTTTATTTTTAATGTGTATGAATGTATTGACTGCATGTATGGAAGTGCACCCATGTTGTGCAGTGCCTGTGGAGGTCAGAAGAGGGTGTCAGATGCTCTGGAACTGGAGTTATGGATGGTTGTTAGCCATCATGTGGGTGCTGGGAATAGAACCTGGGTCCTCTGCAACAGCTGCCAGTGCCCTTAACCACTGAGCCAACTCTCCAGCCCCAACACAGGGTTCTTAAGACGTCAGAAGGCACATTAAAAAGCACATGCTGCTTGAACTCACAGTCACCACCAGTAAGCCATACAACCTAACCTGGAGTTCCTTCGGGACAGGGAACTCATCCCCACAGAGTTCAGTACGTCGTGGCATTTATTTTGTGCCTAAAATGGACTTTATTGGCATTCTTCCAATTGGTTCTCCATTGGGTATACAGAAACAAGTTCAGTTCTCTTCCAGAAGAAGAGCTTTCAGATGTCTAGAAGTAGTCCCGCACCCTAGACACAGACAGAGGTATCACTGAGTCTTCCCTCCACCAGATTAAGCATCTCATTCCCTGTACTGGTCATAGCTATAGTTCTTCGAAAATTCTTTAGGCAATTTATGACCCTCAGTGTATTTTGTCTAGACTTGAAGGTAGCATTTAGGATGGTCTGAAAGGGGAAAAGTGAAGTGGCACTCAACCTCTATTCTAGATGCTTCTATCAATGCACCTGACTTGTAAACTAGCTTCTTTGGAGACCACATCCTAATGGTGTACTTCCTCTGTAATTGCAACTGTAAATGTCTAACTTTCCAATCACCACCTCCCTTCAACCAGCTCATTCAACCTTGGACCCAACACAACTCTCATATCTCACCAGGAATTATGGTCTGTTGATCCAATCACTTTCTCTGTGCCCCCCAACACCAGATCCTCTACATTCGTATGTCCCTTCTTACTCAGCCTAGACCTTTGACACACAATTATAATTATATGCCTGAATACATTATCAACTTTTTTCTTGCCTGGAAAAATCCCAAGCCTGATTGCATCCCATCACCTCTACCCACCTGCTCCGTTCTGCCTTCACTCTCTTCCCATGGACCTGTCCTGTGCTTCAAAGCCGAAACTTCTGCAGTGTGCATTTGATCCTTGCTCCTCTAGCTTACTCAAACTTCTGCTCCCATCCTGTACCCCATCATTAGTTTCCTCTTTTTTGAGGATCCTGCTATCCCATAGAACCAGAATACTATTTTATCACTTTTCAAAGGGAGAAAGATCTGTTTTGTCTTTGTAGGTCCTCTGAGCTGGCAAAACTCTGGCTTGCCCAGTTTGTGGAGGGTGTTTCCAGTAGCCGTGGCAGGGGAATGGGCGGCCATGATGGCAGGGGAGCAGGGGAGGAGGGTGGAGCTGTCAGTATTAAGCTCCCCAGTGAAGCTAGGACACCTCATAAATTGAGGAGGCCCAGAGTCTGGGAAGTCTGCTGCATTGGCTTACTAACCCCCTCCCCCCAATTCTGACCTAAAGAGAGAAAAATGGTGACAAATATGGCAAGCTGCCTTCCACAGCCATTTCAAGGGCAACATCTTTTTCACTGCACTAGCACTATTTCTATCCATGGCAACAACTCTGAGCCACTCGACCAAGAGGGTTCCCGTCTAGAACAGATACCAACCCAGCGCCTTCTTGAAGACTTTCCTAGAGAATGGGCCCATTCAGTTTCTAGACTTTCAAGTGCAAGAGTTAAGTTGGAATTTTCAGGCTGCCCTCAAGGCATACATTCACAGCCTCTTTTGTGATTCACCCAAAGCCAGTGTTGACTTCAGCTAGGGTAGCTTTTGAGATCCCTATCCAAAAGAGAGGACTTGGCCCACTTACTTATCTGTCACAGCCTGCATGAACTCGTCCAGCAAGTCATCATACTCCTTCCCTCGCACACGCTGGTGTTTCAGGCCGATGTACAGAGGGTCCTTGAGCAGCTCCTGGAACAGAAAGCACCATTTACTGAAACTGCTCCACTATTCTGCTTTATTATTATTTTCTCCAAAGCAAATGCAGAGGTTTAATGGGACGGTGGGAGGAGAGGTACACAGGAGGTAGGAGATGGGAGAGTAGGAAGTTTGGGTTTCTCTTCCTCTACCCGGGAGTAGTCTCCAGATGGGTCTACAGGCTAAGCCCCTGACTGAGGGTGGACCCCCATGTAGTAGTCCACACTTTAGGAATGTGACACTTTCAGGTAAGCAAACCTCTGTCAGATAAAGCCCTCTCTAATCCCTGGCTGTAGGCTCTGGATTTATTCCGGGATTTCTAAATAGCAGTACTATAGACATTTTGGATTGGATAATTCATGTGAGAGCTAACCTGCCCATTATAAGATATTTAGCAGCACCTCTGGCCTTTAGCCACTAAAATCCAGCAGATTCTCAAGCTGTGAGCATGGAAAATATCCTCAGAAGTTGCTAAAGGCCTTTGTGGGGTCAAGACTGCTGCTACTTTATAATCATTATAATTGACTTTAGGGACCATCTGGATTGGGGAATGAGGTGTCATCCAAAGCTCTTGCCTTCAGTATAACTTGGAAAACATTCATTCATTAATTCACTCATTCAGTGAAATCTCACCTGTCATGTGCCTCACACTGGTCTTGGGGATACAATTGTAGAACAAGCAACTAGAAATTTTAGTTAAAGGAAGATGCTCACCTTATCCTTTGGCCTGAGTCAGATGACCCTTCTGCAATAATTGCCATCACAGCGGTCACATGCTATTGGGTCATTTGTTGTGGCTACACTGATTTGAATAGCTTCTCCCACTGGGTTTCCTATTTCATCTATAAACCTATGTATCAGTAGACTAATCCATGCATAACATGTTTGTTAATTAATTTATTTCAATATTCATATAAGCTTCATATATAAGAGCAAAAAAAAAATCCCTCTAGAAAAATTCAAATGCTTGTTAGTGGGTATATGATTAAACAAACTGGTGCAGCCATATCAGGAACCACTATTCATCAGTAAAAGGGAACAAACTACTGATACGTGCAACACCCTAGACAAATCTCAAGAGAAAGAAAGCCAGTCTTCAAAGGCTTCATACCACCTGATTGCATCTATGAAACATTTTTGAAATGACAAAATTATTAGATCGAGAACAAAGCACCAGCCATTAGAAGTCAAGGAGAGGAAGGGAGGAATGTGGACGTGTTTATAAAGGGTAGGATGAAGTATCTCTATGATGGACCTGTTCCATAGCTTGACTGCTGTGGTGGTGCAGAAATCTACACGGGTCATAAAACTGCATGAAAACACACACACACACACACACACACACACACACATACACACACAGAGAGAGAGAGAGAGAGAGAGAGAGAGAGAGAGAGAGAGAGAATTGGGAGACTAGGAAGGCCCAGGTGCTCTGGTTCTTGTTCTACATATGGGGTTAGGGGCAAGAAAAGCTAGGATGGAACCAGAGGAAAGGCTGTATCCTTGTCTTCAGCTGACTTGGTTTCCTCTGTAAAGAGGTGAATCAGCAGGGAGTGGAGTCCCCAGGACCCATGGCTAACTTGATCAACATGGCAATAGAAGTTTCCATTTTTCTCTGTATCTCAGCAACTGATTGGGCACAGGATGACTTCACCAAGGTGTGGGGGTATTTGCTATCCCAGAAATCCTCCTTGAAGCCCTCCTCAGTCCTGACTTCTTCATATATGCATGCTATGCATTTAGAAGAGAAGTTTTCAGAAAGTGGTATTGGCAGTAATAATACAGGATGTCCAGTTAAATTTGAATGTCAGATAGTAATTAAAGGTTTTTTGTTTGTTTGTTTGTTAAGTATGTCTCAAGTATTGCATGGGGCATACTTACGCTAAAAAATGACTACCTGAAATTTAAATTTAACTGATACTCCAAATTTTATTTGCTATTCTGGTATCCTTATTGATGTAAGAAGAAGGAATCTTAAGGTGAGAAGATGCTGTATAGCAGAGGAAAGGTCATTGTTAGGCCCACTGCTCCCTATGAGCACCCTCAGTGTGGTCAAAGGGCTTCTGGGCTTTGGGTGGATGGATCTGAGTTGGAATCCATACTCTTGTCACTTAACTAGCTCCATGGCTTTGGGAAAGAAATTTAACTTCTTTCTGTCTTATTTTTCTCCTCTGTTGAAAAGGGATAATAATTATTTCTGTCACATAATGTGATTTCCTTGAGGAAAGGGTCTGTTAATTCTTCATTTACATCACCCCAGAGATTGGTACATTGTTGGTACATGGCAAGCCTTTAACATGTGCTTACTGATAGGAGCTGCTTGAGTGCCATGACTGGGCTGAGGAGATGCAGGAGTTAAGAAGGTCTTGGGAATCCCTTGTTTCAACATCCTCCAAATGAATTTCTGAGGCTTGAAAAGGGAAAGTGAGCTGTCTAAGGTCTCAAAGCCCATCAGTGGGATCAGTAGGAGGAACAAACATGATATCAGAGCAGGGTGGGACTGAACTTATTCATTTCCAAGCTTTGGTGCCCAGAAGGTGCCCTAGTACCTAAGTATTAATTAGATGACTAACTCTTTCCTCTCTGCTAGATAGTTTCTAAGTTCTCTTTGGAACTAAGTAAGTCAATGATTATAATTTTAGGTGAAGGAAATTACCCCCAAAGAGCAAACCAAAACATCTTCCTCTGCTGTGGGAGCTAGAGGGTTGAATACATCCTCTGGGTTGCTTGCCTAGTTCTGGTTTCCTAAAGCTTTCCTTAGAGACAAAATACCATGGAAAACAAATAGTTTTTCTTCCTCTGCTGGACATATCATTGAGGGTCGGAGTTAAGTTGGAAGATAAACCTCACAATCAAAAAATATTTACCTTGAATAGCAGTGGAAACACTGAGACGTCATACAAAGCATCTGTGAAGCTGGGAGGTCATGGGGCCAAGGCTGGGCTGTGGCCATAGCACCCTTTCCCTTGGGGTGGCAGGTGTGCCTGTTGCTCCTTTCTTGGGAAATTCAGGTAAGCCCAGGAATGGGCTGCAAAGATCCACAGTGGCATTCTCACATAAGCATTCTCTGAGGGTACCACATGCTGACCCTTAATAGTCATTAGTCACAGAGACAATCTTGCAAGGTAGAAGAAACTGCAAATTCCTGCTCAGCAGCCAACTCCCTTATTACCAATTCCACAAGGCCAAGGTTTCTGGCTCTGCTGACAATTTGTACCAGAGTTCGTCTCCTGGAGCAGCCATACTCATTAGCCACACAGTGGCTTCCAGAACCACATAGCATCTGAGAAGTAAGTGAGGCTCAGGATGTCAGCCTGGAGAGGAATCTCAGGGCTCAGGAGGGCAACCAGAGAGCTAGACTTGGGGTTTCCAAAGGGCCTCGGTACAGAGTAGCATGGGTACAAGGCCTTGGCTCTAAACCTTAGGGAGGCAGTTTCTGCTCTGGGTCCATTTCCCCATGTAAAATGAAGGGGTTGTGGTGTTTCTGGTCCCTTCCCGCTTGGACAATGTGACTCTGATGTGCTTGGTTTCTTCCACACACAGCTATAACTGAGAGGGGCTTCTTTCCCCTGTGCCCTTGGAACTTAACCATGGGATGTCCCTTCTCTATGCAATCACTGCTCCATGTATTTATTTTTCCAAACCTCCTTGGTGTTGGCAGGTAAAAGTGATTCAGTTTCAGGACTGTAGACAGCAGATGTTTTCCTTCAACAGGAAACTCAGAGGGGTGCTTTGATGCTGATTAAAATTGCTGCCTCAGGAGATTTTTGTAGAGACATACACACTGATGATTTGGTTATTTTGACACTGGAACACCTTACAGCAGTACTCTACCTGCACTGCTGTAGGAGACCAAAGGTACAAGGCCAAACTTTTCTCTCTTATAGCTCAGGCTTGCTCTGAGCAAAAGACATACCTCAAGGAGTCCATAGAAAATACATTGCAAACAAACTGGTTTTAAACAAACAGCTGTAGTGTGGGAACTGACACAGCAAATATATCGGAAGAGAGATAAATCACTGCCCTCCTCACATTGCTTCATTTGGGGACTTTGAATTCTCATGCTCTCAGTGAGTCTCAGGGGAGAAGCAGACACTTTGAGTAGATGTAACACACGACTCATTAAAATGATCTATTATGTGACAGTGTTGAAACACTGACAACTAGAATATTCCACCCAGGTCTGGCTCTCATTTATCTCCCTCATGCCTAGCAGAGTGCCTGACACCTACTAAACACTTAATAAACTTTTATTAAATAAGTAAAGAGAAAGTGTTCACAAAATAACCTTAATTGAAAAAAATGAGAACAAAATTACAGGCATATTATACAACTAGGTAATAACTACATCTATGTAAACACATAGATAAATATTGGAAGGAGAACACAAATGAAGTATTGTGGAAAAATGCTGCTTAAGGATTTGAATAATATTCTAAATTACTTTAGTAATAAAAATTCTGAAGGTCAAGAGATAATTTTGACTCATAAAACAACAGAATGCCAACAGGGGTGGGGGTGGGGGTGTGACATCGCAGAGGATGATGGCATGATGGGCTCTAATTAGTGTTTTCTTGAGCAAATTAAAGTCTCTGAACCTTAGTTTCTTGGAGTGGAGGAAGAAGGCAGTGACAGAGGGTTAACGTGAGGCTTACACTGGTCCCTGATCCTAGTCCATGAGTGCCACTTATTTTTGGACCTCTTTGGTTTGTTACAAACTGTGGTCAGCTTGAGCCTTTGGACACAGTGTTGGGTGCTGGGCCTTCCACAACAAAGGATCCTAATGCACATGCTAGAGGCAACCAACAACTTGAGCGGGTGCAATGGCTCCAAATGAAACTCAAGTTATTCCTGCTCTTGCTTAGGACTACATTCTTGGAGACAGGTAGAATGAACATTTCAATTAAATCCATTTTTTAACACAGCACAAGGCGCCGGAAGATTAAGTGAAATAATGTTTGCTGTATGTATCTACAGAGGCAAAGATGCACTCTGAGGCTGAGGACAATTTTAGTAGCTGCCTGGTATAAACTCCAGCATGTGACTGAGGGAAGGAAAGATTGCAGAGCTTAACTTGAGGAATGGCCTTGTCAAGTAGCTATTACAGCTTGTGGCACCACCCAGCCTCTTGTGTCCTACCTAGGCTGGTGAGGAGGCATGTGCAAAGGAAGAGCTTTTAGAAAGCGCAGATGCTCTGGAAACTTCAGGTCCAGTTCCTCATTGTTCTCGAAGGTGGATCAGGTCTAAAGAGGTGCAGAGACTCAGCTGGCTTGGTGGTGGCACTGGGGCCAGGGTCTCTCTGCCTCTTAGTCCCATCTGCCCACTTTCCTCACTCTCCAGTATCTCCACCCCCACCCCATGATTTCCCAGCTCTTAAGCATGGTCTTCTTGATGCTCCCTAATCTAATGGCACCTGTGGGTAAAGCCTGAGGAAGCATTCTTTGCTAGGAACTACAGCGCTCACTCTTGTTTAGAAAAGGGGGTGTATGATATCTAAGAGAAAGGCAGTTTTCTTGAAAGAAATCATTGTGGAGTGCAAATAACCATTACCTTTTTGGCAATATGAACCAAGAATCCAAAAAATAGGGTCTGGGGAGATGGCTCAGTTAGTAAACTGCTTAACAGAAAAGTGAGGACCCAAATTTGGTCCTTAACAACCACATGTAAAAAAAACTGGGTGTGGCCAGGCACACCTGTAGTCTCAGCACTCGGGGAGGCAGACAGGTAGATCCCCAAGCTCACTGGCCAGCCAGCCTGGGTAAATAAGTGAGCCCCAAGTCCCAGTGTGAGACTCTGCCTCAAAAAGCAAGGTAGTCAGTGCTTGAGGAGAAATGACAACAGAAGTTGTCTTCTGGTCTCCACCTACTGCCCCAAGTCCCTGGAATGAGTGTATACCCCCCAATGAATCTAAAAAGCAACTAACTATTCCATTTGTTTCAATATTGCTGTTTTTAAGAATTTTCCCTAAGAAGATGAGCACAAGGTTGATCTGTAGAATGGGTAGCAGAGCACAATGTATCTTTGCAGCAAGTCTAAAAACAACCTAAATATTCCAACATGCAGAGTTTCTTATGTGAATTATGATGCATCAGGCAGCTTTTAAAGTGACATTTTGTGAAATAATAGCTACCAACTTAAAAGAAAACTCATGGCATAAAGTTCAAAAAGCATACTAAAATTGCTGTAGGCAATATAACTCCAAATTTGTTTTCTTAGAAGTCCTTTGGAGGGGGGAAAAGCCAGAAGGAAATACACTTAAATGCAAAAATTTAGCACTCATCATGATTGATACTTTATTTTTAATATTTCCCTGGATTTTAATTTTTAAATTTCTTAAAATTATTATTTTTATTTTATGTGCATGAGTGTTTTGCCTGCATGTCTGTAGGTGTACTGAAGTCATGCAAAGCCCACAGAGGCCAGAAGAGTGTGTCAGATCTCCTGGAACTGGAGTTATGGATGGTTGTTAGCTGCCATGTGGGTGCTGGGAATCGAACCCAGGTCCTCTGGAAGAGCAGCCAGTGCTCTTTACTGCTGAGCCATCTCTCCAGCCTTTGGCTTTTAATTTTTTAAAAGGAGAACATGCACTGATCTTAAACTCAAATTAAATATTAAGAAGGAATTCTTCCAAAGTAGATTACAGACATGTATGAAAATCTCATAACAGAACCCATTATTTGTAATAATATATGCCAGTAAAACCTATAATCTGCAACAAAGAATAATTCTATAGAAATAAACTTTGTTTCATTTGTAAAAAACAGAACTTAATAGTTTCAATATGTTTCAATAAACATACAATTTTGAATGAAGAAAAAGAGAACGGGATCTTAGACATGTTTTCTAACAAAGACAGGGGACTGAGAATCATAGACAGGCAGAAAGCATCCCTTGGTGATACCTAGAACAAACTCTTGACTTGGGGTTGAGTTCCTTCAGTTACAAACAACCTGAATTCTGCAGGAGGCTCTCTCACTCATGGCTTGGCCCAGTTTCTATCTCAGACATTTCAGTCTCTGGTCTTAATGCTCTGAGTTTTAGTTCTTCCACTGAAGCAGCTTGCCTGGAAAATGCTGAACAACACAGACCACTCTCACTGCCATTGGCTGTTCCCTCCACCAATGGGCGGAGCAGTTCCATGGGGAATGCAAGCTGCTTGGGGTCATGGAAGCAAGAGAAGGAAGAAGTCCAAGCAGTGGGCATCATGGGAACAGGGGAGGAAGAGGAAAGAGCGAGGGGACTCAGAAGTGGAAGGCATTGGGAAAGGAAAATCCTCTGCTTCCCTACTGTGTTGCAGAAGTGCCCTGGTCAAGGGGATGCTGGGAAAGAAACAGCCCATTGCTATGTGGATATAATTGTCCCACAAAAGGGCTCTCCTCTTTTCCTCCTTCTGGCCCCAGAGCTCCTGACCTAGACAGTCTGTTACCTGGTTGTTGGTGCCAACGTCCAGAAGAACAGGAAGGCACTGCTGTGGGTTCACCCCTCCACACGCCGTGTACAGGGCCAGCTTGCCCACAGGGATGCCCATTCCATAGCATCCCAGGTCTCCCAAGCCCAGTATGCGTTCTCCATCAGTCACCACCACAGCCTGAAAAACAGAGCAGAATGCCAATCGGGGAAACACCTTCATGACACAGTGCTCATTTCAATGTCCCACCAGTCAGGCCTGACAGCTGGATGCTCATGAACTTTGCGGAGGACCAAGCAGCTTGTCTGGGACAAGGCCAGAGGATTCATCAACTGCAGGTGGCTGGTCCTTTCTGGCAAGTGGGCTAGAAACCCCACTGAGATGAAATGACAGAGAGCCACCCGCCCTGCATTGTGAAGTTGGAGTGGAGGCTGCAGAAACAGCTGCAGAGAAACCACATCTAGTCATTTTCCCTCAGAGAAGACACTAGACAGCTTCAGCCTGAAACTTGGGGTGAGAGATAGGAAGGGAAGGATGCAAGGAAAGGAGAAAATGAAAAACAAGTGTTCACACTATCCTAAGGTTTTGAGGCCAATGAACGTGTTCCTTGGCACGCTCTCGGCCTGTGATAAGTACAATTTGCAAAGAACAGTTTTTAATATTTTCTAGAATCACTATATCATATGAAATCAGGCAGATAATTACCTTTTTAAAAATTTATTTTTATTATTTTAATTTGTGTGTGTGTGTGTGTGTGTGTGTTTGTGTCTGTCTGTGTGTGCCTCTGTATGTCTGTGTGTGGATATGTGAATGTGAGTACGGGTGCCAGTGGAGGATAGAGGTGTTTGGATATCCCTGAGGCTGGAGTTACAAGCAGTTGTGGTTGCTGGGAACTGAATTCAGATCCTCTGCAAGAACAGTGCTTGCTCCTAATTGCTGAGCCATCTCTCCAGCCCCCAAGATTACCTTTTGCATTTGGCAAAGGCTCTCTGAGGGCTATGTACTAGACACAGTGCTAATTCTAGGTTTACTTACTATAAATTAACAGATGCCGATGGAGCTGATGCTACTGATAGACACAACTATGTTATTATGGGGAATGTTAATTTATTCATTCATTTAACACATATTTATGAAGTACCTGCTTTGCTGGTAAAACACCATGCTATGTCCCAGGGAGAGCAGCTTTAGTTTGCTCCCCTGTAAAATTAAGTGTGGATCCTTCCCTTAAAAAGCTAAAGAGCCAAGTCGGGTGTGATGGCACAGGCCTTTAATCCCAGCACTCGGGAGGCAGAGGCAGGCAGATCTCTGTGAGTTCAAGGTCATCCTGGTCTACATAGTGAGTTCCAGGACAGCTGGGACTACAAGGAGACCCTGTCTCAAAAAGGCAAACAAACAAACAAACAAAAAACAACAATGACAAAAAACTAAATAGCCAAATGAGAGATGGAATATGTTTATTAATAATTCTGGCTTTGGGGCAGAGGCCAAGTACAGCAGGCCAATGCGGAGAAAACAGAGGTTAGTAGATTGCTAAAGGGAACTCACTCCTATAGGTTAACCTCTGCTTATGAGTCTCTCGAGGGATAAAGCACATATGGGCTGTTGCTACCTTTTGGTAGAAACAGGTATAAAGATTCTAAAAGGAGTTCTAGAGAGCTCAGTAGACTTATAAAAAAACCATGATATTCCCCTTTCGGATTGCTCTATGACCTCTATGGAGAGTGCTCATAACCCGTATCTCACACTTCCTTCCTCCCTCAGCCTGGGTACATAGGAATGGGTGAGACTGTTAACCCCATTACACAAGTGAGCAAAATGCAGCTCATGACCTTCATGGTCTACATGTATTTGTCATGAATCAGCCAAATTCCATGGGTGATGTTTCCTTTTTAGTTATCTTAGAAAGCCTAGGTGACTTGCCAAGGTTGCCTTGCTCTGTATGTAGCAATCCAGGATTCCTTCCAGATGGGCTTTGAGCTTTCTGGTTCAGAGTTTTTTCTACTGCTCCATCTCTTTGTGATAAAGTGCCTGTACTCTTGGCAAGTCCTGTCCTGCCTTAGCAGCCTGATCCCTGTACTTGCCTCTGATCTCCCCCTGGAAGCTCTTCCAGCTGTAGCCTGTGCCCTTATGCTGCCTCTGGAGGACCAAACCCTGTGCATTTCTCTACTATCTGTCAACCCAAAGCTTGCTTATTCAGGTTCCCATTCTCTTGGAATCCTTAGGGGACAGTTGTGATGCAGCTGTTTGCTCTGAATTAAAACATTCCCTTCTGGAAGAAGGAGGGAGTCCCATAAAACTCAGAAGTAAACAAAACATACAAGGCTTAGGAAGCTCCTGAAAGTTACAAGATTCACAAGACCCCTCTCTGGGATTCTAGGTAGTAACAAAACTAGAGAAAGGAGATTCTCTGATTGACCAAGCTGCCTACAAGTTGTGCCAAGGGGCTCAGAGGAGGTAACTGCCTTTGAGTTGTCCCTGCTCCTGTAAGTAGCTGTTCAACCATACTCCCCAGGGGGACTCAGTGGTCCACTAAGGTACACAGGTGAAATGATTTCTTTGATCATATCAGTGTCCTATTTGGGCTGAATAGATATTTGTTCACATCTCCCCACGAATGTCACACAACAGCAACAAGTACCACAAGATTAAACATGGGCTATCAGCTACTCTGATGCATTATCCCTAGAACCCTAAGATGCTGAGGGGACTCTTCAGTGCTGCCTCCCAGCCTAGGACTGTCGCAGAGCACTGCACTGCATGTTGAGCTTCTCTGGGGGGAATGTATCACCTCCATCTACCACCCATTTTTCAGTTCAACTGTGCAAATGGTTGACTCTGCAAAGCTTTGTAGACTGCTTGCCTCTTGATTCTTTCTTCTAGTCTCTCCTGTCATCCAATGTCAATGTCACAGTGTCCACAGCTCATTTTCATTATGTCATTTCCAGGCTCAAAGACCTTCAGTGATGTGTAATTGTCCCTATGGACATTAAGCCTTCAATCACTGGAACCCAACATTCCTTCTGAAAGATCTGCTACAGGCCTGTACACAATTGTATCCTCTGGTTAAAAGGTCTCTTCACTATGAGGCCTTCTAGGCGTAGACCATTTGGACACCTGGAGTGTCCCTAGGGTGGGTACCAACACTCCCCAGAGCCTAAGGAAAAAAAAGCAAGAAACTAGTCTCCAGGCGTAAGTGGGCTGAAAGGGACATGGAGGGCCCCACAGCAAAGGAAACCCAGGCACAGACTGTTCATTAATGCAGATTCCCATCTCCACCAGGTTATTGAGGATGGGGAATCTGGCTATTTTGAAACAGCTGGTCACAGAGAGGAATTTCTCTCTCTCTCTCTCTCTCTCTCTCTCTCTCTCTCTCTCTCTCCTCTCCCTCTCCCTGTCCCTCTCCTTCTCCCTCTCCCTCTCCATCTTCCTCTTCCTCCTCTGTATTCTTTCCTGGAAGGCCCTTCTCCCCATTCTCCAGCTCAACAAATGTAATGAAGTCTTTCCTTTCTCTGAACTATTAGCACTTGTTACATTTACCACACAGTGGGTGCCAAGACTCTTAAGGTGCTGCTTAAACACCTGGTGGTGATACATTTGGAGTTTTATTTAGTATTCTTTGAGTATGATTTGTTTCCTAAAGATTGATGTGTTGGAGGCTTGGTCTGTGATGTGGTGATGTGAGAGGTGGTGGAATCTTTCAGAGGCAGAGCTAAGTGAGAGGCAGTTAGGCCATTGGGGGTGCTGTCCTTGGGAATGATTAAAGTAGTTTTTGTGGGGCTCCAGTTAGCTGCTGTAAAAGTGGATGACCCCTTCATGCTCATCTGAGCAATGGAGACTCCTCCAACCCTTCTTTAAGACCCACCTTGGGGCTTCAGAAGGAGTCCTTCCTGCACTTTGACCACAGAGCCCGTGAAGAGGCCCTGTGTTAGCTCAAGTGCCATGTAAGGGGTAGTGAGTGATGAGCAGAGGTTCCCTACAGAAGTAGGGAGTTTTTTACCTCCTCTTTTTTATTTTTTTGAGACAGGGTCTCCCTGTAGCCCCAGCTAACCCAGAACTTTCCATGTAGACCAGGCTGACCTGGATCTTACAGAGATCCACTCTTTTCTGCCTCTGAGTGCTAGGATCAAAGGTATATACCACCATACCTGGCTTTACCTCGTCTTTTAATGGCAACTGGGAGAAACACATTAGGAAACAAGAAAGATTGCAGCTTGGAACATTCTGAACCTCTGAAAGGGCACCTTGAGTGAGGTGGGGGAGGGACTTTCAGCGAAAGGCTTTTGAGAGGGGCAGGTCTAAGGTGTGCTGGGGATGATCCAGTCAGCCCTAGTTAGTTAGTTTACAAACCAAACTATAAGCTCTATATTCAGAGTACCTAATTTTTTCAGAGAAGTCATAAATCCAAGTGCTTCGAGACTTATGTAAGTGAAATATGATTTTAAATGTTTTTATTTATTATTTTTAGTTTATGTGTATGAGTGTATTGCCTGCATGTGTGTAAGTGCACCTGTGTCATGAAATGCCTGCAGAAGTCAGAAGAAGGCCTCAGATCCCATGGAACTGGAGCCTCCTAGAGGAGCCAGGGGAGATGGTTGTTAGCCACCATATGGGTGCTGGGAATCAGACCTGGGTCCTCTGCAACTGCTCAGCCATCTCTCCAGCCTTCAAGTGAAGTATGATTTTAAAATACTGGGTATAAATTCAAAAATTTCAACAACCACGGAGGGCCAAATCAAGTGTGTTTGGGTGCCATGTCATCTGACTGCCCATTTGTGGTCTCTCATTCCCAGGAGATACCCTTCTTTTCCTGGCTGCCCTTAGGCCTTGCACAACTATGGGCATGACAACTGCCTCTGACACCACCCATGAAGACAGTGTTCATTCATGTGCCCTTCAGTGTCTACAAACATTATGTAATTAATCTTCACAACAGGAAAGAAAATTTCTGAAAGGCTGTCTGCACACACAGCAGGTGAGTGGAAGATTCTGGGTCAGAACCCTTTGTGTCTGGTTGCAAAGCTGGGGCTGGAGTCTCTAAAGTGAGTCAGGAACAAAGGACGGAGGTGGTGCCAGGCGTTCCACTGACTACCTTGGTGTCTCACAGGGAGGGAGGCCAGGCAGCAGAGGTGTGGTAGCCTCTCCTTGCTTTCAGGTGAACCTCTCTAACCAGAATTTGGTCCTCACACCTTTATCACAGAGCCCTAGGGAAAGCTTTCACAGCTCACAGAATGGTGATCAAATGTAGCTAATTAGATGCCACTCACCAGCCCAGAGCAGCTTATACAACTTACAGCCTCTTTAGAGCTCTTATGCCTCTCTTTTTGGGGCCTTCTTGAGATCCTCCTCCTCTGGAGTGACCACAAAGCCCTGTTTCTATTCCTCTGCAATCACTGTCACTATCTCTCTGGTAGTTAATATTCAATATTTAGAAGGGTCTCAACATATGTTTATTTAAGTCAGTGTCTATTTTGCTCCTAAGGTTCTATTTTGAATTCATATCCTGGTTTATCAACTGTGACAAAAAGATTTTGTCAGCAAGGTTCATGTAGTTTCCATTTTGTCTCTCTTGTAGGAGGGCCTGATAACAATTGCGCAAGTTGTGTCCTGATAAGGGAACAATTGAAACCTGAAGTTCAGCCATTGAGTTCCTTACCAACACCCCCTGACCCCCACCCTCATGCCAGTCTGGAGGAAAGGGTACCTTTTCATTTTTGGAGTAAAAGAGGAGGTTTCCTTTGTTCATTCTTTCTAATTGCTCATAATTTGCATAAAAGTACTATGTATATATTAATGGAACTCCCACTTCTGCTCCTGGTACAGTGTCTGGTACATAGAAGGTGCTTAACACATCTGTTGACTGAGTTTACTCACCACAACAAGCATCTGCTGAGGACCTACTATGTGCAAGGTTTCTACTGTTGAAATGTCTGGACATAAGGAAAAGATTAATGTGCAAGTCCACAGCGGCATGCCCACTCAGGTTAGCCCAAAGTTAACTCCCCACTGAGGAAGCTGGTTCCCCTTAACATCCTCAAGATTTTATTATCGTTTCATCCTTGACACACCCTGAAAACATGCTTTTCTGGGACTGAGCCTAAAACCTGCAAGGCCAAGGCCTGCACATAACTGGAGTCCAGGAGGATATGCACAGGGCAAAATCACACCCAGATGGAGTTGTGAAGAATGAGTTATTCATCATGGTCAGCACCGAAGTCTTGGCTGCAGCTCAGACCTGGGACCAGCATGTCAACATCCTACCTTTTTTCTGCTCTGATTTTAAATATTCACACTGTCCAGAGAGAGCCAGACTTAGGTGGAAAACTAAGGGGTGGGTAAGAGGTAGCTATATTTGACACCTTGGGAGAGGAGTAAGGCGCTCAGGGAATTAATTGGCAAGGAAGGAGGGAGAGAGGCTCTGCAGAGAAAACTGTAGAGGACCACAGCCTCCTAGGGGAGCCAGGGTAAGGTGAGCAATGGCCCTGAGAGTTACCCTGTGCTTAGGGTCAGTGTCTTTTGACTCATGTGCTAGAAATACCCTTACCAAGGAGTTATCAGCTTTATTCATGTGAAGACAAAACAATAGCCTCAGTTACCAGATCCCTCAAATTCTCCCATAGAAGTCCCTATGGTAGGAGGGGATGGCGATTGAGCTAGAGGCTAACAAATTTCTACGGAGTCACTTACTTTATGTTAAAAATTAATACAACTGCGTTCTACGTTATAACCTGATCCTTTTCTCCCTAAATGTTTTGAGTAGAGCTGATCTTCAGTAATCAGGTTTACTTTGTCACTCTCCACATACACTCCTGCGGTGTCACCTGGGGTACATGTACCCAAGTGTCAGTACTGCTCATCATAAGCCTTTTCCTTCATGCAGAAGGTCCTCACCTACCTTCCCATCTCTGCAACCCAGAGTGTCCAAACTCTACCCTCAACCTAAGGCCTAGTTCCAATGTCATTTCCTTCTCTAAGCCATCCCAGATTTCCCTGAACAGAAAGTCATCCCACCTCTCGGATCACCTGTAGTTCATTCTGTTCTTCACTTTGCTCTGATCAGGTTCCACCTGGCTAGTCTTTTGTGTCTGTCTTGAGTTCGTTATATTTCCTTACTTCAGAAGAGGATCTATGTCTGATTTCTTCCTGTATCCCTAAAGAAACTGCACATTTATCAGGAACCCCATATGTGTCAAATGTTTCTAGAGACTCATTAATAATAACAAAAAACAATTTCACCTATATGTGATATAAATTTCTGTTCGTGATGCATTTATGTGTGGCTATAGCTTGAATGCGATCTGGGCCTGAGAAAACACCAAGAATCTAGCCTTTAGTGTCATAATCGTTCATTTTATAGGTAGAAACAACACCAATGAGGACTGTAAGGATTCTTCCAACAGTAGCAATGAAAACAGGATCATACCTTAATATTGTCCTCTGGCCAAGAGTTCAGCATAGTTGCAATGTGGCCTTTGTCGTGAATGGTGATAAACAGCCCACTAGGAAAAATAAATAGGCACACATAGAGAAAACAGGCAGTCAAAGGAGAAATAGCAAACACACAAGTCTAAGTATCAGCTGCATTGCTGAGTTTTCCCCATAGATGCAGGGAAGAGGGGGTCTCTTCCCAAAGCCCCAGCAGTTTGGAGAGTCCTGCTCCATCCCTTCTCTCCATAGGACCAGAGGTACATTGGGTCAAGAGGCATATCCACCTGAAGCCCATGTTCTCCAAAGATCCCACCTTCTCTTCCTCTCTAGATTCAGGGCCTGAATTCTCTGATGGGATGCTTCAGCAACTTTGTGGTTTTTCCTCTAGACAGCAGAGCACACAGTAGTGCCTGGATCCTTGGACCTGTGACTAAAACCTTTTTCCCCATAAATTCACACACTCAAGTCTCTGTTATTCTGGTAGTGACTCAGTAGCTTGGCAGGATAACCTTTCTGTAAGTAGCAATGATGCAATTTATAAACTATATATATTATTGTTCATGTTATGAAATGTACAACTTTGTGGAGTTTGGCCAAATGGAGGCAGAAGGGGGAGGAGCATCACCTTTGAAGGCAGGAACCTCAGGAGGTGCATATTTCAGCTTTTTATCTGAACACAGTCCAGGCTGAAAACAGTTTGGAGCAACAGAAATTCAGAGACTTACAAGCTTGAGGTGCCAGGGAACAGAGTTGGGGTTAGGGGAGCAGCTGGGCAGTGAAGGGGCAAATTCTGAAGGAAGGAGCTTAAGCGAGAATGGGCTCTGAAGTCTGGACATAAACAGCCCAGTCATTGGCTAACCATGCATTCACAGGGGCACTGGCAAAATGAGTTGCAGTTAGAAGTCAGTTACTGCTGGTTTGGGTAGATGGAACTTGGATTTTGAGTTCAGTTTAGTTCACTCTCTTAAAACAAAGACTACTATTTAGAGAAACAAAATCCAGCATCCACAGAAGTCGGAGTAACACAGATGTCCATTGTAATGACCTGCTTATTTCATATATGTTTGTGTTTCCAAAATAAAACAACAAAAATACCACTCAGTCACAGACTATCACCCCCACCTCCCCATGTGTGCACATGCATGTGGAGGCCAGAGGTCAACACTGGGAATTTTCATCAATTGTTTTCTTTTTTTTTTTCATAGAAGAAAGAAGAGTTTATTTGAGCTTACTGTTCCAGGGGAATTACAGTCTGTCTTGGTGGGGAGGCATGGCAGCAGAGGTGGCTGGAGGAGGAGTGGAAAGCTAAGCTCTCATCTCTTCAAGCAGCACAGGAAACAAGAGAGCAACTCCAGATCTGGCAAGGCTTAAGAACTCTCTAAGCCCACCCTTAGTGATGTGTTTCCTTCAGGATAGCCACACCTTCTAAGACCTCAAAAAGCACCACCACCAACTGGGGACAAAATGTCCAAATACTTGGAGCCTATGGGGAACATTCTCATTCAAACCACCATGTTCCACCCTCTGGCATCCATAGGCTTTCATGACCATATAAAATGCAAAATGCATTTAGTCAAAACTTAAAAGTCCCCATAGTCATTATCAGTCTCAATACAATTCAAAAGTCCAAAGTCTCTTGAGACTCAAGGAAATTGCTTAATTGTAAGCCCCTGTAAAATCAAAGACAAATTACATACTCCAAACATACAGTGGAAGTGAAACACATTACCATTCCAAAAGGGAGAAAGAGAGGCACAGAGAAAGAATACTGGACCAAAACAAGACCAAAAACTAGCAGGGCAAATACCAAACCTAGTAGTTCCATGTTCAACTTCTGCGACTTTACTTCAAAAAGGTGGCTCAGACTCCAGCTTTGCTGCATGCAACATACATCTCTCTCTTAGGCTGGTGCTCCTCCCTGCATGCAGGTCTTCTTGGCAGATGTCTCAGAGCTGTGGCCTCATGAATGTTTTCTTGGGGTCTCCATTGCCAAACAGGCTTCACCTTCACAGCTTCACACAGTGGCCTATTAGAGTCTACTTTATGCAGGGGAACCCCTGCTGCATGGTGCCTGGCCTCTGAGGCTCTGATTCCAGGGGAATTGCAGTCCATCTTGGAATGGAGGAATGGTGGCAGAGGTGGCTGGAGGAGCAGTGGAAGCTAAGCTTTCACATGTTCAAGTGGGCACAGGAAACAGGAGCTCTGCCTAATTTTTTTGCAGCAAGGTTCCACTAGATTGGTTGGACATCAAGTCCCAGGTATACTCTGTATCTGCCTCCCTAGTGCTGGGATTATAGGCGCTTGATGCTGTACCCAGCCTTTTCTGACTTTTTTTTTTTTAATTTAATAACCACATGATTGGAAAAAGCGTTTCGTTACAGCTTTAACATATTAAATAACAATTTCCAAAGCAAGCATACAGCTCTTTCAAAAGTGGCTGTAAATTTTTAGGTTCCAGTTGAATCGATACAGTTACACAATATTGAACTCAGTATAAACCCTGTAAGATATAAAACTGAATGAGTTTCCATTTCATTTTAAAATATACTGCTTCCTACAGAAAGATTCTTTGTTTTTTTGCATTATTATGTGGATTTCTTTTTGTTTCTTTTTTTTGTTTTTAGAAGAAGCATTTCATTACAGCTTTAACATATACACATTTAACAGTAACACATTCCAGAGCAAGGGTACATCTCTTTCAAAACTGGCTGTAAATTTTTAGGTTCACAGTTGAATTAATACAGTTATACAGTATTGAACTCAGTATAAACTCTGTAACACATAACATTGAATGAGTTTTTACCCCTCAAAGAAGATCTTCATTTCATTTTAAAATATGCTGTTTCCTACATTGCTTTTTTTTTTTTTTTTTGGTCCTTTTGAGACATAGTCTCCCTGTAACCCCAGCTGTCCTGGAACTCATGATGTAGACCAGGCTGGCCTTGAACTCACAGAGATCCACCTGTCTCTGCCTCCTGAGTGCTGGCATTAAAGGCATGCACTGGCTGTTTCCTACATTTTTAATGCTATTAACACTAAGATGTTGCACATGTGTCATTAATCTCTATGTATCTGATTGGTACTAGTCACAGTCGGTTACACTCAGATCCTTAGTACCTGAGTATGGGTATAAAGTCATCAGGTAGATTTCACTGGTAATGTTTATCATCTCTTCTATTTAACATGAAGTAAATTTTTATGTTTCTTCTTCAATTATAAGTTTTTTAAAAAAATTGTTGATTTTTTTTGTGTGTATATCATACAGAACATCCCACACAATATTATTCATCTATATACCCACATCCCAAATGGCACCCTCCCATAGCCTCCCCCCTCCCACACACTGGAGCCCATATACTCTATGATCCCTGTTACTGTCCACTGTGTTATTGACACCCACAGCCATTCCCTAGTGCTTGTCTGTCTGCGGAATCTAGTCAACCTATCTAGAGATCCTTGTTTTAGGAAGATCAGCTGTTCCTCAGAAGCAGCAATCAGTTGTCAATATTCCTTTAGATAAGATTGGGGTCTGCTGTTCATTTTCCCAGTTCTATGCTGGGTTACTGTCTGGGAGTCTTTTGGGCCGCCCTGGCCAATAACTCAAAAGAAGGTATCTCCTGTGTGGTATTGTTTCTTATTATGTAGCCTTTAGCTATACATATGGCCTCTTAAAAATTGTATTGACCCCATTAATCTCTGGTTATACTTTCCTTTTGGGTGTTTAAGACCTTACAGTTTCCCCAGATAAACCAATTTATTTTAACTCTTAAGGTCATTTGAGGATCTGTTCCTCAGGGGTAACATGGGCTTGGGAGAAGTCCCTGGCTGCTTTTACCAGTTCCTTCTATGTGAAGATAAGTCAAAGGTCCTACTCGCCCATGGTTCGCTTCACTTGGAAGCATGGGGGAAATGTTTCCTCTGTGTTGACCCTCCTCTTTGTGGACTGGACACTGGTTCAGGTCCATCTGGTGGGGTCTCCATGGCCTCCTTGATCAAGAGGACAGGTGAATCACCGCAGTTACAGGACATAGTCCCCTGGAAATTAGTCAACCTAGGAGGGCAAGGATCAAAAACTGTCCTTTATGCACCCTCTGACCAAATTAGTATGGGCTTCAAAGTATGGCTATTAAACATCAAAGTTCCATCAGTCTGGTACTTTTAATTACCATGTGCCATGTAAATAGAGCTTGGACAAAGACCAAATGCTCTCAGATAAACTTTGCTTAAACATATATTACATTCTTTGATCTGATTGTATGTATAACTTTTTAGTAGGTTGTTGGCCTAATATGGTTCCCTCTGGTTTTCTAAAACTAGCTAGGCATTGTTTATCTCTCACATTGTCTAACCCTTCCACTTTGGTTTCCCCATTTAAGGTGCCCCTGTTTTTCCCATTTCTCCCTTAATAATACCCTTCTCCTATGGTCTCACCTCTCTTAGCTCTTTCTTTCCCTTTATCCCCTAGGTTCCTTGCATAACCTTCCCTCCCACCGTCCCCTTAAAATAACCACATTTTAATCCATATCTCTCTTATAAATACCTGTTTCCCACTGTTCTTCTATTTCAGATTCTTTCTTTTCCTTTACCTTTCTGGTACCTCTTCATTATCCTGGTTCCTGTAGTTATGTCTGGATAATATTCACTTATAAGGATTTGGTGCTAGGATCCACATATGAGGGAGAACATATGTTGATTTTTTTTCTGAGTCTGTGTTACTTCACTTAGCATAACAGTTTCTATTTCCATCCATTTACCTGTAGATTTCATGATTTCATCCTTCTTTACTGCTTAGTAAAACTCCATCAGTAAAATGAACCACAATTTCATTATCCACTCGTCAGTTGAGGGACACTTAGGTTTCTTCCATCACTTAGCAATTGTGAAAAGAGCAGCAACAAACATGGATGTACAAGTGTCTCTGCAATAGAATGAGTTCTTTGAGTATATGCCAAGGAGTGGTATAACTGGGTCAAATGGTGGGTTCATTTGTATTTTTTTTTTTGGTCTTTTTGAGACAGGGTCTCCCTATGGCCCCAATTGTCCTAGAACTCACTATGTAGACCAGGCTGGC